TTTTACTCAAGTAGTGATCTGAGTTACTTCTACTTTTACTCAAGTAGTGATATGAAGTACTTCCTACTTTTACTCAAGTAGAAGATCTGAGTACTTCTACTTTTACTCAAGTAGTGACCTGAGTACTTCTACTTTTACTCAATTAGTGATCTGAGTCCTTCTACTTGTACTCAAGTACAAGATCTGAGTACTTCTACTTTTACTCAAGTAGTGATCTGAGTACTTCTACTTTTACTCAAGTACAAGACCTGAGTACTTCTACTTTTACTCAAGTACAAGATCTGAGTACTTCTACTTTTACTCAAGTACAAGACCTGAAGTACTTCTACTTTACTCAAGTACAAGACCTGAGTACTTCTACTTTTACTCAAGTAGTGATCTGAGTACTTCTACTTTTACTCAAGTAGTGATCTGAGTACTTCTACTTTTACTCAAGTAGTGACCTGAGTACTTCTACTTTTACTCAAGTAGTGACCTGAGTACTTCTACTTTAGTACATCATGAGTACAAGATACTCAAGTAGTGATCTGAGTACTTCTACTTTTACTCAAGTAGTGATCTGAGTACTTCTACTTTTACTCAAGTAGTGATCTGAGTACTTCTACTTTTACTCAAGTAGTGACCTGAGTACTTCTACTTTTACTCAAGTAGTGACTGAGGTACCTTCTACTTTACTCAAGTAGTGATCTGAGTACTTCTACTTTTACTCAAGTAGTGACTCTGAGTACTTCTACTTTTACTCAAGTACAAGACCTGAGTACTTCTACTTTTTACTCAAGTACAAGACCTTGAGTACTTCTACTTTTACTCAAGTACAAGACCTGAGTACTTCTACTTTTACTCAAGTACAAGATCCTGAGTACTTTCTACTTTACTCAAGTACAAGACCTGAGTACTTCTACTTTTACTCAAGTACAAGATCCTGAGTACTTCTACTTTTACTCACGTAGGACCAAGATCTGAGTACTTCTACTTTTACTCAAGTACAATGGATCTGAGTACTTCTACTTTTACTCAAGTACAAGTGATCTGAGTACTTATCTAACTTTGACTCCAGTAGTGACCTGCGTACTTCTACTTTTACTCAAGTAGTGACCTGAGTACTCTACTTTACTCAAGTAGTGACCTGAGGTACTTTCTACTTTTACTCAAGTAGTGACCTGAGTACTTTCTACTTTTACTCAAGTAGTGATCTGAGTACTTTCTACTTTTACTCAAGTAGTGATCTGAGTACTTCTACTTTTACTCAAGTAGTGACCTGAGTACTTCTACTTTTACTCAAGTAGTGATCTGAGTACTTCTACTTTTACTCAAGTAGTGATCTGAGTACTTCTACTTTTACTCAAGTAGTGATCTGAGTACTTCTACTTTTACTCAATTAGTGATCTGAGTACTTCTCCACCTCTGGTAGCGTATTAGCCTGAATTGTAGCCACTAAATCACGCAGAGCTGCATACAAATAGACTCCCAATGGTAACAGACCAGCAATACAAACGAAAATGTGTCTTCGGGTCAATGTGACTGACTTTGATAGAGTCGAAATCAAAGTCAGCTTTATTGTCAACAATTCATGTGTGTGTGTGTGTGTGTGTGTGTGTGTGTGTGTGTGTGTGTGTGTGTGTGTGTGTGTGTGTGTGTGTGTGTGTGTGTGTGTGTGTGTGTGTGTGTGTGTGTGTGTGTGTGTGTGTGTGTGTGTGTGTGTGTGTGTGTGTGTGTGTGTGTGTGTGTGTGTGTGTGTGTGTGTGTGTGTGTGTGTGTGTGTGTGTGTGTGTGTGTGTGTGTGTGTGTGTGTGTGTGTCCATTTGGGGCAGGGTGGAGAGTTCAGGGGAGAGATGTCAGAGGGAGGGAGGAAGCTGTTCCTCAGCCTGGAGGTGCGTGAGCTGAGGCTGAGGAACCTTCTCCCTGAAGGCAGGAGGCTGGAGAGGCTGTTGGAGGGGTGGGTGGAGTCACCCTCAATGCTGAGTGCTTTGCGGGTGAGGCGGGTGTTGTATATGTCCTGTAGTGAGGGGAGTGAGGCACCGATGATCCTCTGGGCAGAGTTCACAATGCGCTGCAGGCTCTTGCGGTTGGAGGCGGTGCAGCTTCCGAACCACAGCGTGATGCAGCTGCTGAGGATGCTCTCGGTGGCGCCTCGGTAAAAAGACAGCATGATGGGGGGTGAGAGCAAGTCACATTTGGTTTAGGCACGAAACATACTACCAGTTGAAATACATTGATTTTAAAATCGCTCTGTGTCGAATCAATAGATTATATTTCGTGACTATAACACGAAATGCCGTGAGTGCTTGATCCGCTTCATCCTCTGAACACCACAGGATGGAGACTGACATAACATAGGGACTCTATTATAGAATAATAATAATAATGGGTTTCATTTATAAAGCACTTCATATTTGACTTCAAATCCCAAAGTGCTACAAGCAGTGAGCATGAACAGTATAAAAACATTACACAACACGGTAGAATGAATAAAAAGCAATAACAAACAAACAAACAATACAAATCAAATAAAATGGTGGTAATAAATCAAAGGTCTAGGGAAAGGCTCTGCTGCCGCAGGGAAGGCCGGAGCGGAGATGTTTTATTTAAAAGCGAAACAATTAAGCTCGCTCTGACTTCTTTATTTTCTTTTAATCTAAAAAGCGAAGTAAAGCATTTACAATTTCAAGCCCTTTATCCAAAATGCAAGCACCATTCCCAAAATTCAAGCACTTTTCAAACCTTGAAAGCACCTCGTACAATTTCAAGCATTTTCAAGGATTTCCAGCACCCGTACGCACCCTGTACTTATTGAGTTGGAATGCTGATACAGCATTCCCACTATATGTTATGCTACGAACGAAAAGTTTATTATTATTCCGTCCAATTATTTTGTCCGTCTTCTCCTCCCACATTCAACATCGCAGAAACTCCGTTCAAACATCAAAACGTTCAGCTCGGTCGGGAATCGGACGCTATTACTTTTCTCATTCATAACTTTCATAATTCCAGAGATACATCCCATAATACATCACATTTTTAACAT